AAAAAAAAAAGAAAAAAAAAAATCATTAAAAGGAAAAAGTTTTTTACACTATAAAAATCCATGGTCTTTGAAGAATCTCTAAAATCCCTAAAAACTCAAACCCTGAATTCCGTCTTTCCTTCCTTTCGAATATCCTCCCTCATCCCCTTTTCTGAAATCAGTAAGATGTCGTCATCCGCGGTTGAGAACGGTGGCAAGAAGATTATCCTCCGCAGCTCCGATGGCGAGGTCTTCGAGGTGGATGAGTCGGTCGCCATCGAGTCCCAGACCATCAAGCACATGATCGAGGACGAGTGCGCCGACAACGTCATCCCCCTCCCCAACGTCACCGGCAAGATCCTTTCCAAGGTGATCGAGTACTGCAAGCGCCACGTGGACGCCGCAGCCGCCGCGAACGCCACCAGGGCCGACGACAAGCTCGCCTCTACTGCCAACACCGAGGACGATCTGAAGGCATTTGATGCTGATTTCGTCAAAGTCGATCAGGCCATGCTCTTTGACCTTATTTTGGTATGATCTTTAGGGCTCTTCTCGCATTGGTAAAGTTATTTATTTTGTTTGTGGAATTAGTAAGTGATTGCACTCTAGGGTTTGCATATTTGCAGCTTATTCTAACTCATGTATCGTCACTGTAGCATGTGCTATGTATTAGATTTGTTTTGGTAATTCATTTATTCACCGTAATTATATGGTAACGATCTGTCTTGGTGTAATTTTGTTTTGTTGATAGACAATTCGATTCAATAGCAATGTTATAATGGGAGATTGAAATCTTGTATGTTTATATGCTTGGTTGCAATTGAAATTTGTATAAACTGAACACCTTCCGTTTTCTTAGTAAGGTTCTGATATAATATGTGTAAAATTTGTCTGCTTTCCCTCGTTCGATGCCTGTATCTCTGCTTACTGCATTGGCCCCTTTTTCGCCACTCTGTTCCTAACATCGCTTCTCTAGTTACAGGCTGTGCTATATGGTCCTCTTTCTGCCCAATTTACAGAGATAATGACTTATGACTTCAGATAGAGTGCTCTATTATGAACTTTGTTACATTATCCTTGTTCTTATGTTGTCTTTATATGGTAGTGTCTTCTAGAGAACTTTCCATTTATAAATATAGGAATTTGATTTAGACGTTTATTGGAAGTTTTATTTCACCATACTTATATAAACAATATCATAAAACAATTTAGGTGTTTTAAAACATTTTATTTTATATTAATAATTTAGAGAAAAATTTAGGTGATTTCACACCTCTCTCAACTCTCAAGAGTAATGTAGGACACTTTTAATATTTCTACACATGTTGTATAACATTTTAGGTGCTTTTAATATTTTAGATAAACATGTTTTATGTATTTATGCACAAGTTAAGTATTATGTAGCTTATTCAATAAGTTAATGTACGTGCATTGTATTCCATATTAACTTCATATTTTCAGTTTATAAATATTAATAATATTTTCTTACCCGTGCATCGCGCGGTATTCGTACTACTATGTTAGATAGGAAAGTTTATTTACTAGTGAATATTTGTTCTATTGATTCAGAGGTCATTTCAAGTATATTTGACCTTTTTCATTCTTACATCCTTTTTGTTATCTTCAATTCACTTTCCTTGACCTGAAATAAGCTCTTTTTTTAGTTAAAGCAGCTGTTATACATTCAAAGAGAGCATTCTCGGCATTCTAGTTGCCTTTCCTGCTCTTGTTCCTGCTTTATACCAAGGAAAAAGAGAAGAAAGGGTGCAACATTTTTGGTCATTGATATGCTGTATGAACTGTATTGATGGAAAATAGTAGTGCTAATGTTAGGCTGGCATTACTGTTAGCTGCCGCACAGCAACATTTGTGATGGAAAAATGCTTGTGTGACAAGCCATCCACTGCCCCCATATCAACCTTATAAGTCACATATTGCAAGCCTCCCATAGGCATATAGCCTTTTGTATGCTTAATTCATTATTTTTCTTCTTTTCTTTAGTGGTCGAATTGCATCTGGCGTTTTTGATTTATGAATTGCCTTCTTTAGTGTTTAGTTCTTCTGGAAGCTGTGTTTTAGTTAAATATTATCATAGATCACGTAATGGCATGATCATTGTGATTTGTGCGTGCAAGATGATAGAGAGGATTATGAAATTATTGAATGGTCTACACTAATTCATGATGGTAGCTTGGTTATTCTTAATTTGTAGCTTCAGATGAGCTTGTGAAATTAGATGTACATTGCACTACTGGGTTTATGACTATTTTACATTTGGCTTGTCTCGACTTATCCTGTCTGGTTTTGAATTCTGAGAGTAAAGCGGACGTCAATATTTACCACTGTTTTCACGTGCTTTTTGTAGGCCGCAAACTTCCTGAATATCAAGTCCCTTCTGGATCTGACCTGCCAGACTGTTGCTGATATGATCAAGGGAAAAACTCCGGAGGAGATTCGTAAGACATTCAACATCAAGAACGACTTTACTCCTGAGGAAGAAGAAGAAGTTCGCAGGGAGAACCAGTGGGCTTTTGAGTGAACAGTCATGAAAACGCATGAATAAAAACTTGCTGGTCGACTCAGCTTTTGCTGTTTTCGGGATTATGTAATATGGTCTAGGAGACTCTTTACCCTATTATGTGTTATGGGGTTTTGCTTCCATCGCACTTAATTATTACCATGTGGTTTCATGTTTGTGGATCACCTGTGTTAATATTGTAAGTACGTTGCTTCTGTTCGTTTTAACTTTATGTTCATCTAAACAGATGCATCCCTGGGACCCTGGAGTAATTTTATAGTATTAATTATCATACTTGATAGTAAATTAATTAATTTTACTAAATTTGTTAATTTGTGGAAATATGATTATATGCATTTTCATTTAGTTTTCGGGCTAATAATTCATATTAGTGATTCAACATTCCACTTATTAGGTTCTCATTTTGACGTCACATATTCTGTAACCGGAATGAGATTATTTACATTCATTTTTATATTTCAATTTAATAGTATGTGATTAAATTTTCTCCCAAGTTGAAAAAAAAAATAGGTACAAAGAAAATGTTACAACTTTTCAATTTTAGAAATTTCAAAAACGTTATTCTTTTTGTTAACAAGAGTTAAACATAAGTAATCATTAGATTACTGTATATAGACATATATAAAAGGATTTTCAGATTGCTAATTATTATTTACTTTAATAAATTTAATTATATTTATCAATTAAAAAAAAATTAATGGCAACGGTATGGTTAGATTTTGGTGGAATTTTAATGCCAAGGACCAAATTGATTAACCAAAAAAATGTTGGGACCAAACTAATTAAGTTAGAAAATTGAGTGCCAAAGAAAATCATGTAAAGTTCGGGCACCAAAAAAGCAAAAACTCCTGTTGATGTGTGTGCTTGATCCAAATGTAAAAAATAATGTTTTAAATACCGTACCCGTGGTCATATCAGTCTACCCACCGGTACGCGGTATTACAGGTTGGACCGATAATATCAGTGGTATTGCAGGACTAGCAAATATAATGATATATATAAATATCTAAAAATATATAATACTAAATGCAAAAAAGTAAAAAAAAAAAAATGACCATAATCATTAATTTCTCACAATGAGATAAAAATAAAATATTGTAAACCAATTTTAATTTTATGTTTTTAAATTAACAAATTTAATTTTTTTTAAATTTTTTTTTGGGGCCGGTATTTACGGTATGTGAAAGTTCCATGCAGTAGTTGTGGCACACCAAGGAAGAAGTCTTCCATGAAGTACACCATTGAAGAAAAACGCTAGCCACCACCCTTCACCAACCTTCACATTTCACACCATTTTGTCAATGGTGATATGCTATTTCATATCTATAAATAGACTTGTTATTTTATTCATTCAAATCATCCTTGAGCGATCAATCAACCTTGAGAGTGTTGAAACACAACCAAGAAAGAGTTGTGGAGTGTTTGAGAGTTTTTTCTAGAGTTTGTAAATCTCTTGTGTTTTTATTCTTGTGAGTAATAAAAACGTGTTTTTCTCTCAAATATGTTTATGATCTTGGGATGATACCACAACAAGTGGTATCAGAGCTTGGTTTGAAGTTTTCGAGCTTATTTTCGAAATTTTTCGAGGCTCTATAGAAATTTCGAGTTTCTGCGCTATGCTCGAAATTCAATTTCGAGGTCACCGTTAGATTCGTCGATCGCGGTGATATCTTACGGGCGAAAAACGGACACCGGAGCTGCCCCGAAAAGCCTCCGCACATTCTGAAAAAAAAAATAAAAAAAATAAAAAAATCGTGAGGTTGAAGATGATGTGTCGCTACGTCATCTGACACGTCATCGCCATGTCAGCAAGGAAGGCACAGTCAGCAGCCCAGTGAGCTGCCACGTCAGCAGTCCAGTCAGCCACCAGGTCAGTACTCCAGTCAGCTGCCACGTCATCAGTTGACTGCCACGTCATCGAAAAAAAAAAACTACCCCCCATTTTCGACTGTTCTGGACGCAACGGTGCTGTCTATTTTCAAAATTCAGCTCCGATTTGTCCCAAACAGATCGTTGAAGGTATAAAATGGCCATGGAAGAATCAACTTCATCTTCTGGAGCTATGATTATGCTCACGGCTACCAACTATACGCTGTGGAAACCTCGGATGGAAGTTTTCCTCAGCTGTAAAGAGCTCTTTGATCCAATAGAGCTGAAGGTTATTAACCCTGATCCGTCCAAGGCGTTAGAATGGAAGAAAATCAATAGAAAAACTATTGGTCAAATCCGACAATGGATTGATCATAGTGTCTTCCATCATGTTGCACAAGAAACCGACGCATATGTCCTTTGGAGGAAGCTGGAGGACATGTACCAAGCCAAGACCGCTCGGAATAAGGCCTTATTGATGAGGCGCTTAGTCAATATGAAGTTAAAAAGTGGAACTTCTGTTGCCGAGCATACCAGTGAGTTCCAGAGCCTGGTAAATCAGCTATCTTGTGTGGAGATGCCGCTTGGAGATGAAATGCAATCGCTGTTACTTCTTAGTTCGCTTCTTGTTAACTGGGAAACACTCGTTGTTATCTCAGCAACTCAGCCTCAAACGACAAACTTTCCATGTCTGTTGTCAAGGATGCCTTATTCAATGAAGATGCAAGAAGGAAAGACATGGGCACAGATCAGACCCATGCCCTTGTGATGGAGAATCGAGGAAGACCACAAGGCAAGCAACAAAGAAGCGGTAGAGGGAAGAGTAGGGATAGAAGCAAGGGGAGGCAATCAGATGATCGGAGATCACATGTGTGCTATCATTGTGGTCTAGAAGGTCATATGAAGAAGAATTGCTATAAATGGCTCGAGGAGCAGGGCAAAAGCAATTCTCAGCCGAAGAATAGTTCTCAGCAGAAGAACAAGGGAAAGAGTGGTGAAACTCTTATCACTGCTTCAGGTGATGTAGCATATTGCTCTAACCATGGTGAGACGTGTCTTCATGTCTTAAGAGAAGACATTGAATGGGTGGTAGATACTGCAGCATCCTATCACGTTACTCCCAACAGAAAATACTTCACAACATACCAAGCTGGAGACTTTGGATCGGTGAAGATGGGAAATTCCAGTTCCTCTGAAATTGCCAGAATTGGTGATATCCAAGCAACGACAGGAACCGGGAGTACAATCTTGTTGAAGGATGTCAGACATGTGTCGGATCTTAGGCTGAATCTTTTGTCAGTGGTGGCTCTTGACAAAGAAGGATATGAAAATCACTTTGGCGCAGGCACATGGAAGTTGTCAAAGGGTGTTCTGAAAATTGCCCGAGGACATGTTTGTGGGACGTTGTACAAAACACATTTGAAGATTAGTACAGAAAGTCTCAATGTTGCAGAGGAGGCTTCCCAGGATCTATGGCACCAGAGATTCGGCTATATGAGTGAGAAAGGGCTGACTACCCTGATGAAGAAGGATCTTATCAAGGTTGATAAGAGAGCGGCGATGGGTTCTTGCAGCCATTGCCTATTCGACAAGCAGCATAGAGTCTCATTCAATACAAGTTCAACAAAGAGATCAGAGTTGTTAAGCTTGGTACACTCTGATGTTTGTGGTCCCATGGAGGTTGAATCACTGGGTGGAAGCAGATATTTTCTGATTTTTATTGATGATGCTTCTCGAAAGGTGTGGGTATATTTTCTGAATATGAAGGACCAGGTATTTGAGTACTTCAAGTCATTTCACGTCATGGTGGAACGTAAAACAGGAAAGAAGCTGAAATGTCTCCGATCTGATAATGGAGGCGAGTATACTTCCAAGGAGTTCGATGCATATTGCAGGACATATGGCATTCGACATGAGAAGTCAGTACCACGTACCCCTCAGCACAACGGTGTTGCTGAAAGAATGAATCAGACTATCATGGAGTGTGTCCGAAGCATGATGAATATGGCTAAATTACCAAAGCCATTTTGGGGAGAAGCTGTTAAGACCGCATGTTATCTGATCAACCGATCACCTTCATTTCCATTAAATTTTGATGTTCTAGAGAGAATATGGACTGGTAAGGATCCGACATACTCACATCTCAGAGTATTTGGTTGTGTAGCATATACACATGTATCCAAAGAGCTCAGGAAGAAGCTCGATGCGAGGTCCATCCCATGCATTTTCATTGGTTATGGATGAAGAGTTTGGATACAAATTTAGGGATCCAAAGGATAAAAAGGTGATCAGAAGTAGGGACGTTGTGTTCCAAGAAAATTTGACAATAGAAGTTATCGAAAAGCCCAAAATGTCTCAGAAGTCAAATGTGGGTGCTCAAGTTTCAGATGAAGCACCAGAATTGTTCCGGAGAAACAATGAAGATGATGTACCAGAAGAAGATGAGGAGACAGAAGAGAGTCCAGAGCAAGGGGAGCAACAACCCACCTCGCCAGAGCAAGGGGAGCCACAACCCATTTTGCCAGACACCAATGTTGGAAGTTATTCTCAGATGGTTCTACCCACTCGTAGATCTGAACGAGGTCATATACCATCAAAAAGGTACTAATCATTTGAATACCTTCTATTGACAGAAGATGGAGAACCAGAGAGTTTTCAAGAAGCCATATCTCATAAGGATAAAGAAAAATGGATGGCTGCGATGCAGGAAGAGTTAGATTCTCTGCAGAAAAATCAAACTTATGAGATAGTTAAACTTCCAGAATGGAAAAAGGCTTTGAAAAAAATGGGTGTTCAAGCTGAAGAAAGATGCAAATGGACAAGTGGTGAAACACAAAGCTCGATTAGTTGTCAAAGGCTTTCAGCAGAAGAAAGGGATTGATTTTGATGAGATCTTTGCACCAGTTGTCAAGATGACCTCAATTCGAGTCATACTTGGCTTGGCAGAAAGTATGAATTTGGAGCTTGAACAGATGGATGTGAAGACAGCTTTTCTTCACGAAGATTTGAATGAAGAAATCTATATGCAGCAGCCAGAAGGTTTTGAGGTTTCAAGTGAGAACCTCGTGTGCAAGCTATCTAAAAGCTTGTATGGCCTGAAGCAAGCACCAAGGCAGTGGAATAAGAAGTTT